TTGAACATAACAGAAAATGGGAACAATCTAAATGCTCATAAGAAGAATTTGGTTAAATAAGCCAGGGACCAGCCACACAATGAATTGTATTAAGCCATTAAAAATATTGTGAAAATATTTAACATCATTGAAAAGATCATACATCACTGAAAAAAGTAAAGAAAGCAGATTAATAGGTTACCAAAGAACTGAACACCTCAATTCCATTTGGTACACACACATACACACACACACACACACACACACACACACACACTCACATATGAGGAGTCCTGTGAAAGTTCATGGAAAAATTTGTATGATCTTTTACTCCATACTTCCATGAACTTTGGAGTACCCTCATATATGTATATGCATAAGTCTGTATGTGTGTGTGTGTGTGTGTGTGCGTGTATACATATATATGTGTATATATATAGTCTCCTCTACTTATAACCCTCTACCTTAAATGTTCCACAGATAAAAACAAAGGCACATGGACACAGAAAAAGCAATTACCAACAAAACGTACTCTGGAACGTATGCTCCAGGAGAACAGGGACCTTATCTGCCTTAACTAGGGCCTAGAATCGTGCCCTGCACATATGAACACATACTCTAATATTTGTTGGATGGATGAATTAATAAATGAAGATGGAGTTAGTGATCATCTGTTTTGAAATTACTTTGGACTTTCAAAACAGTTTGCATATGAACTGCTCATTAGAACTGAACTTATCTGTATATAGAAGAGTTATCTGTGTGCCTATTTGTAACCATACACACTTTAAGCGTATTTTTGTACAAATTCAAACAATCAACACTAAAATGTTAACAGTGAAGGATAGGACTATTTGTATTTTTCATTTTTTTCTTTTTGCTTAGCAATATTTTCTATTACTTTTCTACATATTTTTTAAACAGGTACTACTTTTATAGAAAGAAGGGGAAAAAAACCCTACTTAATTGTGTTTGCGCATTTTAGGAATGTAAACTTTAGGAAATAGTGAAAAAACAAGAAAACCTTTTTATCTGAAAGTGATGAAATCTGAGGTGACATTTTGCAAAAATAGTGGAAATAGTCTTGCAGTGGCCAAGAATTCCAGAAACTTCCAGGTCACCTGCTTACCTGAAGTTCAAAGCT